ATGCACCATTCTAAAATGGTGTACTACATTCATTCTTGAAGGCAGAACTATCAATCACTATATCTCCTGCATAACTAACAAAGTATCTTATATAGAAAGAATTCAAATTTCTCAAATTACTAATGCCTTAAAATTTACTTCTAACACATATTTATAAGCAAAGGTCATCAGAAAAATAAGACCTAAGACTCTAAAATTCTTCTTCTATGGTTAAAATAGGACTTTTTAAAAAAGATAGTGAAAAAGGAGAAATGCAGTTTACAATATCGAAAATACATTGGCATACCCTTTTTCCTGTCCCTCTTCCCACGGGAGGATGACATTCAGCTGCTTGTCTAATAGTACAAAGCATTATTTCAATCAGAGCACTCTCTTGCCTGTCTGTTAGTGCTTAAAAAGAAAAAATCAGAAAGAGTTAAACCTATTTCTTCTCCCTATATGCCACTTATAATATTACATAACAGTTTCTTCTGCCTGTGAATAGAATTTCACCTAAGGTACTAAAGGAAATCTCATGACTGTATCACAGAAAGTATCAGAGTAAGTTAAACCTTCCTAAACCCCTCAGCATTCCAAGTCTGTCCACTATGGATCCACACATTTGAGTAAAGAAAATATGAACCCAGATACAAAAAATAAAGAATGTTGACAGCAATTACACCTTTCTACATAGCATGAGATTCATGCATATGAAGAAAACAAACCTATGCACAAAGTAGGATTTTTCACTACTTATGTTAACACTAAAATGGTAAAGAGCTTTTTCAAAACTGTTTAGATGGAAAAAATACCGTAATTAAACGTCCTTACCTTCCTCTCCACTAAGTGGCTCCTCCAGCAACAAGCTATTCATACATTCCCAGTCTTTCAGCAGCTCGGTAGCACAGTCCCACATGCTATCCACAAGGTATGCTGCATGCTCATGTAACTAAAATTAAAAAAGAGCAATGTGCTCTTAGAGAAATAGTATACTAGCCTTAACTCTAAAGAATAAAAGCTTTGTTGGCACCATGTACAAAGTCTTACAGCGATATGTTTTTTCAGGTCAAATGGAAGTAAGGACAGACAAGAAACTGCCTTAGTTTGCTGGGTATAAGTAAGCCTTGTTAGGTAGCATCTTTAAACATTTTTCACAATATCATTAAAACATTAACATGAAAGATTATATGTATACTTACTGCTTATTTGGACCTAATATTGTATCAGTTAAGTACTCAATTCTTAAATATACTACGAATTTATTTTAACAAAATGGGGGGTGATAGTGGTTAATTAAAACATAAAATACAGGGTTATTTGTAAATCCAGTATATAAGACAATCATCCTCTTCATTCTGTAAAGCTTAAAAGACCCTACTGCTTCCCAACTCAATTTAGGGGATGAGTATAAACATGATACAAACACTTGTCAAAGATATTATAAATAAAAAATATTATGGATTAACATCCTTCATGAACATAGAGGGAATGTCCTCAAAAACTGGCAAACTGAAACCAGCAATATATAAAAAGGAGAATAGACCAAGTAGGGTTTATCCTAGAAATGCAAGGTTGAGACAACCTTCAAAAAACTCATTCAGGCCTTTACCAAAAAGTCCCAAAACAATAAATGTTGGTATGGATGTGGAGAGACAGGAACACTCATACACTGCTGGTGGGACTGCAAACTAGTGAAACCTCTGTGGAAAGCAATATGGAGATACCTTCAAGAGATACAAGTAGAAGTACCATTCGATCCAGCAATCCCATTACTGGGCATCTACCCAAA